AACACGTTAACTATAACCGAAACAATGCACACCGTTAACTTTAACCAGAATTAACGAAATTTTCACTTTATTTTCGCTTACAGCCGTCGAAAGTGCAATACTTGACTCTCGTTGTTATCTGGAGGGAGGTGGCTCTGCCGAAAGCTTTCTTGCTAGCGAAGACTTGGATGTTGGTGCAATTATTGGTAAACTGCGCATAAATGGTGATCCCGATGTTGAAAACGGTGACATTAATTTATCATTACGTGAGAAAGATGCGCCGGTGGAGATAGTACCCGGCACGAAAGATTTATCTTTAGCTGTGGAACTAGACAAAGAAGGTCTTCGTGGACCTTCATCTATATATGTAAATATAATTTGCTTAAGGCGACACTCAACTGATCCGGTAAGTTTTTATAACATTAGTAACCAATATATACTTTCTAGCTCTGTGATCTAAAATACATTCAATTTTAAGCTTAGGTCTTAATTCTAAATCTATGGAATTTATTTAGCAATATTAATAACAAATTTATTAACGAATAATAACAGTTAGATACAAATTACAGGTTTTCAATTTTATAAGGTAGTGTTAGATTTGAAAGAAGTCAAAGTGAAGAAGTTATAAAGTGTTAAGTTAGTATTTTAAATATATCAAATACTACTTCAAAGTAATCCCAAAGAAAAAATCGAGATCAAGTTAATAGTCTACTATATATATAAAAAGATAAAGATCGGGCTAAAATCATAGATACATAACAATTGTAAGAATAGAGTATCTAATAGAGTATCAATAAAAATGAAGAATATACTGTAACGCAAGGACATCCGAAAATTCCGTAGTATCAAAAGTAATAACAATGTGTGATAACAGTAATACCTACAAAGAATGTCATGATGAGTTTACAATAGTGACCTGTTTGATAAGTCGGTGATAACTTCAGTGAAGACATGTAGTCTATTTTAAATAGTTGTCAGAAGTTGGGTTAAATAATTAAGGTACATGTATTATTATTTTGTATAAATATATAAATATATTAATCGTTTATATACTGTTAAAGGCTTAAAGATAATGTTTACTTTTCTTTCAACAACTGCTTTCAACTTAAATACTAAAAGTAATGGATAGAATAGATTTTTACCGAATGCTAGTAATCGTGGGAACGGGTTCTGACAGTTTATTATATTATAGCTCATTTGTATTTAAATAATAATTCAAAGCACTCTATAGGTAGGGAAGTTAGGTTACTGTGAAAATCACTCCAATTGTCCAACTCATTTAAGCCCTTCGGATCATAGTGATATCATAATGTAGCACGGAACCTCTACTGTTGATTAGTTATGGAAGCAATTTATTTGTAATCTTAGCATTAGGCACTTCTGTGAAAGACAAAACTGCCTGAGTTTGTTCTGCTTTTGGCTAGAGCAGTGCAAATGCACAAGAGGTGTTCCATTATTTCTTTCTCTTTCGTGTCATTACAACTTCTACAATAATGAGTGAAAGTTCCCACTCTAAGAATGTGTCTACCAGATAACCAATAACCAGATATACAAGCCACGAACTTAAATAAGTCTTTTATTGATAAATGAAGTAAATCCATTTATTTTTTTGTATCAAGTTTCGGGTGTTTGTTTGACCAGAATAAATTGGTCTTTTTAATGGTACTATCTATATTCATTTAGTAGTTGCAGTACCGATACCGCCTTAGTCTATGCTTAGGGGGAGATAAGTATCCGAACTGGTAAGTGCATCGATCTACAGCGTTCTCCAATTTGTTATTACCTGGAAATCCAAATTAGAGGTACCATAAAAACTGTACTCATGACGTTTAAAGCTGTCAGGCAATCCTGAGCTAATTTTTGATCTTACCATCAAGTTCTTTGATTTGATGGCCGCCTAGCAATTCAAGGAATATATTTTTTATAAGGGTGACTAAATAATTCTAATCCCTTGATTACGGTATAAGTGTTTTCCATTCAGTTTCATAGATGTTACCTTAGTTTTTAAGAATTTTCACTAATTCGATAGAATCTTTAAATGTAGTTTTCAAAAGACAATTTTGTATCAGAAAAGTCAATATTTCTAGGTTTTCGATCACTACTTATCAGGTTTGGAATTTTGTCAGACATCGATCTTTCAAACTTTTATTATGAAGATATATCATATCATTTCAACACATTATACACTGCATTATTATGTATGCACTTAACATCTACTCTATTTAACTATTTTATTTAAGCAAATGAAGATTAAAATCTGTACTCATCACTTTCAATTAAACCAATTCTACTAAATTGTAGGAAATTTCACGAAATTCTTAACTTTTGAGTAAAGTTTTAATTGAAACTTTTTATACTGCATTAACTGTACTGAGGTTTTGACTTGAAATATATTTTTATCTATAAGTATTGTTAAAGGTGTTAGGGCAATATTTGCTAAGTAAATGAGCACATATAAAAAAATCTCATAAATATTTGTGTTGATACCACGAGCGAAACATCAAAACACCAACAAAAGTGGTCATAAATTAGACCCTCTAGTTTCCGTTTTGTAGCGCTAAAAAAGCGCGCGAAAATATGTGCTGACGTGTGCAAAGTAACTTAAATAGGTTACACCCTTCGACTTCTGCTCAGTAATAACAATGCCCATTCCATATACACATATAAGACCAGAAAGAAATTTTGCACACTTAGAAAACCAACGCATTGATTTTTTACTATTCTTAGAGAAAAAGGATTGCAACTGAACAACGATTAGGCCTACTACGCCTAACAATCTAGAATTGTACTTCAATCGGCTTGAAATCGCATGCTACTTGAGAACTTTGAACTTTGGAGGAGGTCACTGACCAGTGGCTTAATAGTTTCACTATAAAAAAGCACACAGTGCGAACAATATAAATAAAAGGGTTTCACTAATGGTAAACAAAGAGACAATATGTTATACAATGTGCTTATATACATATATATATTAACTAACATTTAATCTATAAATATTTATGAAAAGCTCAAACCAAATAACAAATTTCTTTTGCATATATTTTGCAGAGTTTTGTCATACCAGTAAACGTGCGCGTGATTGACGTCAACGACAACGCACCACAATGGATAAATACTCCTTACACGCTAACGCTATCAGAGGTGACTGTACCTGGTACTAGAATACTACAAGGTGCTCGTGCTGAGGACGCTGATCAGCAGGGTCCATTTTCTACAGTTGAATATCAAGTGCTACCGGGTCCATTTTCTGAATATGTGCAATTTCTAAATCCATTGGATGGCACGTTGGTACTTAAAAAACCTTTAGACTATGAAAGTATGCAAAATTTTACTGTTAAACTAAGAGCGCAAGATCAAGGCACCCCACCAAAATTCTCTGACACCTTACTAAGAGTTGTTATTACCGATGCCGATGATCAAAATCCAAAATTTCAACGTGAAAGCTATACTGGTGAACTACCAGGTGATGGAAGACCAGGCGAAATTCGCATACGACCAGAACCGCTTAAAGCCGTTGATCAAGATGAGGGTATTTGTGCACCCATACAGTACTCGATAGTACAGTCACAGGATACCAAATATTTTCGCATACATCCACATAGTGGTGTCATAACACTACTAACACCCATTGGCACAGATCTGGCTAACGGTGCTACATTAGTTATAAAAGCTACACAGATCGATAATCCAGATCGTTATGCTCTGACAACTGTCACACTTTCTCGCCCGGGAACGCACAGTGATTTAACCACCTTGGCTTTTGTACAGAAAAAATTCTTTATGCGTATACGTGAAGATACAGCAGTGGGTAATCGTATTCTAGCTTTACCTACAAACAAGCCTGGAAAGCATCTTAAGTACACCATAACAGACCCAATCAATTCACAATTTTTCAGTGTCGGTACATTGGGTGAAGTTATACTCATCAAACCATTAGATTATGAGAAAATAACTCGTCATGACTTTCAAGTTCATGCAACTGATGGCATGACGAACACAACGGCCGATATTAGCTTAGAGATCACAGATGTCAATGACTGGGAACCAAGATTTCGAGAAACACATTACGAATTTATAGTGCCCAAAGGTGTAAGTATATAATTAAATTCTATGTCAAACATTTTACTTAGTATTTTATTTCAACAGTCGCTACATTCGCGTGCTGAATCTTTTGAAGGCATTATGATCGGAAAAGTTGAAGCAGCTGATGGCGATCGAAATGACAAGCTTGAGTTATCGCTACGTGGGCAACATGCTGGTCTCTTTGAAATTGATTCTGCTGGTAATATTTATTTGCGTCCAGAGCAAATACAAAATCTCAACGAATCAACAGTACACCTCATAGCAATTGCAACCGATACTGGTGTACCGCCACGTAGCACTTCTGTGCCAGTTGCAGTGACGATGGAAGGAGTTGCGCTAGCACAGTCTACTTGGACTAACAGCTTACTTGGCATGTTTGGCATGATAATCGTACTATTTATGATAATTGTTTTAATGATAACATGCTATCTTCTGCGTACGAAGAAGAAGAAGCGTAAAACAACACCGGCTTTAGGACGCAATCGCGTGCATAGTCATGCACACAGTGGTGTTTCTACCGCGAATTTAGTAACACATGAAAAAATGAGTGGCAATGGTAATGGAGTTGCTGTTACAAGTGGTGGTGTTTCTGTGCTACATATGAAACACCATGGCGGCAATGTAACAATGTCAAATCCCATCAGTAACGGGCATCAACATCACAGCGGTAATAGTAGCACAGGAGTTGCAGGTGGTAATGGAAACATGGCCATGAGTAGCACAACAATTTTGGCAAATAGCTTAGATCGAGAAGCACAGCGAGAACGAGAAAGAGAGAGACAACGCGAAAACTATGCCGCAACCGTTCGTAGTAAGTGTAATATGATTGTTGACATAT